AAATGTAGAGAGTAGGGTAAGGTGAGTACTGTGTAAGTGGTGGAATATGACATACAGCGGGGTCATGGTTGTTTAAAGTTAACTGCCGATAAATAGACTTTTTTGCCGTATGAGTATACGTTGTCCAGGGTGCACCACGTGGAGGTAAGTCTATCGCACACCCCACTTGCAGAGAGTGTTTATTGCTTTTTTTAAAAGTTTTAAAACTACAGTTTACCATTTAACTTCATATCTTAAATGCCTTATCATGGTGGAATAATCTCAAGGCTAAAAAATTGTCTGTAGGTAATGGAGGGATTCAAGCTTTACTTTGTTTAGGGAAATTTATTTCCAATCTACAAACGGATTCCCTTAATCAGTGGCATTTTTTGTTGTTCAAATTTAAATGAGCTAGCAGTTGTGGAGGCGCTTCAGAATGACAATTTAAATTCGCGTTTGTCAGTTATAAATCACCCTCAATATTGAACCAGCTAAAATTTTGCCCTGAATTTGCGCCATAATCTTACTTGCACTCTAACTTTCATGATGTACTAAGTAAATTATTTTGATCTATTTTAGGTTCTGAAATTGGTGATGAGATCCAGCCTCCAGCTTACATTCCCGTTACTTCAATTCGAGCCGTCAATACTCGGCCGGTTGTAATTATGGGGGATTTGAAGCACAATATTACGAAGGATTTGTTAACAGAATTTCCTGATGATTTCAAATCCTGTGTCCCTCGTAGGTTATTTCACTTTTTGCCATAAATCCACCTTATCTAGATACCACAAGACCTCGGAGACATGGTGAGGTGAATGGGCGTGATTATCATTTTGTAAAATCTCGAACTCGAATGGAATCAGAGATCCAACTGAATCGATATATCGAAGCTGGAGAATATAAAGGGAACCTCTATGGAACTCATCTAAATTCCGTCTTCAAAATAGCGTCCACTGGACAGCATTGTCTGCTTGATGTTGGTGTTCTGGCACTTCAGAGATTGGATGCTGCAGGGTTGCTACCAATCACCATATTTGTGCTATCTGATCTACTCGATCAGTCTTTACGAGTTGTGGATCCTTTAGCAACAACAACTACTAAGCAGGAAGAGATTAACCCTAATCGGAAGCTGAAAAGACTAGAAAAGAATTTCACTTTCTTGAAGGCGAATGCGTCTTTAATGACTGGTTAGCTTCCCGTGCTCTTTCATATTCATTTTTTGTTCAATTGACTTGAACTAACTACTAATTTGTTCATCTTCTAGCCGTGTTATCTGTCAATGAATACGATGATTGTATTGAACGAATAAGGAGGGTTGTTAGCGCGAACAGAGGACCGAATGTTTGGACGGCATCAAATGATTTTCTTCCTTGATTTACTTATGCATTCTGATTGCCTTATTTGGAAGCAATCATCAAAAATGAACTTTTGCGTCACATTTTCTCCCAACTTAATGCATTTCCTTTTGCCATGTTGTATGTGTAAATAAAAAGTTGCCTGTTCTCTGGATTTAATTATAATGGAAAAATAAGGTATAAAACATGGATATTTTAGTGTTGCCTACAGATAGGAACAGAGGCTTTAGTTGTTTAGGGGGAAATACACATGCCTGTAAATTTAGAATTAAATAGAAAAAAATTTGCAGCCACGTTAAATGACTAGCCGATAAAACACCCATAATAAAAGTGTACTTATATCAAATGGCAGGCGTTTTGGTAGTTATCGTTAGATCTTTAGTTGACTTCAGGCTTCACAGTAGGAAAGGAACGTCGAAGTGAAAAAAGTCGAGAGGGGGGGGAGGGGGAAGAAGAGTGTTTCAAAGATGTAAAAGAGACAAACACAAAGGTAGAGAGTAGGGTGAGGTGAGAACTGTTGAAGTGGTGGAATATGACATAGAGTGGGGTGATGGTAGTTTGAAGTGAGAAATATGACATACAGTGGGGTCATGGTAGTTTGAAGTCAGAGGTCAACTGCCGGTTTATAGACTTTTTGCCGTGTTAGGGTTAGATCAACTGCCGGTTTATAGACTTTTTTGCCGTATGCGCATACACAATGACATACAGTGGGGTGATGGTAGTTTGAAGTGAGAAGTTGTGACATATAGTGGGGTGAGGGTAGTTTGAAGTCAGAAGTCCACTGCCGGTTTATAGACTTTTTGCCGTATGAGTATACTTTGTAACATACAGTGGGGTCATGGTAGTTTGAAGTCAGAAGTCAAGGCATACAGTGGGGTCATGGTAGTTTGAAGTCAGTGGTCAACTATACAGTGGGGTGATGGTAGTTTGAAGTGAGAAGTCAACTACCAGTCAATAGACTTTTTTCCGCATAAGTATACGTTGCCCAGGGTGCACCACATGGAGGTTGTAAGTACACGTTGCCCAGGGTGCACCACGTGGAGGTATGCCGTTTGAGTATACGTTGCCCATTGGTTTATAGACTTGTTTGCCGTATGAGTATACGTTGCCCGTCAATGGGGTGATGGTAGTTTGAAGTGAGAAGTCAACTGCCACAATGGGGTCATGGTAGTTTGAAGTTAGAAGTCAACTGCCTTTAATAGACTTTTTTGCCGTATGAGTATACGTTGCCCAGCGGTTTATAGACTTTTTGCCGTATGAGGTCTGTTGCCCAAATATGACATACAGTGGGGTCATGGTAGTTTGAAGTCAGAGGTCAACTGCCGGTTTATAGACTTTTTGCCGTGTTAGGGTTAGATCAACTGCCGGTTTATAGACTTTTTTGCCGTATGCGCATACACAATGACATACAGTGGGGTGATGGTAGTTTGAAGTGAGAAGTTGTGACATATAGTGGGGTGAGGGTAGTTTGAAGTCAGAAGTCCACTGCCGGTTTATAGACTTTTTGCCGTATGAGTATACTTTGTAACATACAGTGGGGTCATGGTAGTTTGAAGTCAGAAGTCAAGATGTCAACTGCCGATTAATAGACTTTTTTGCCGTATGAGAAGTGATAAGTCAACTGCCGGTTAATAGACTTTTTTGCCGTATGAGTGGGTTGCCCAGGGTGCACCGCGTGGAGGTAAGTCTATCGCAACAACTGCCGGTTAATAGACTTTTTTGCCGTATGAGTATACGGTGCCCAGGGTGCACCACGTGGAGGTAAGTCTAAATATACATTGCCCAGGGTGCACCACGGAGGTAAGCCGAATGAGAATACGTTGCCCAGGGTGCACCACGTGGAGGTAAGGTGTAGTATACATTGCCCAGGGTGCGCCACGTGGAGGTAAGACCGTATGATTATACGTTGGCCAGGGTGCACCACGTGGAGGTACCTTTTGCCATATGTGGATACGTTGCCCAGGGTGCACCACGTAGTAGTAAGATGAGTACTGTGAAGGGGTCGAATATGACAAATAGTCGGGCCATAGTAGTTTGAATTCGAGAAGTCAACTGGCGATCAATAGACTTTTTTGCCGTATAATCTGTGGATGGGGCCGAATATGACAAATAGTCGTGCCATAGTAGTTTGAAGTCACCGATCATTAGACTTATTTTGCCGTATGAGTATGCGTTGCCCAGGGTGCACCACGTTTTTGCCGTATGAATATACGTTGCCCAGGGTGCACCACGTGGGCAGTTTGAAGTTGGGTGATGGCAGTTTGAAGTGAGAAGTCAACTGCCAGTTAATAGACTTTTATGCCGTATGAGTAAACGTTGCCCAGGGTGCACCACGTAGACGTACGAGTATACGTTGCCCAGGGTGCATCACGTGGAGGCAAGTCTATCGCACACCCCTTCTATTAAAAGTTATTTCTTCTTTCCGTGAATGGGTGGCGCAATGGACTGTCGACGCACACCAAGTCGAAGGGCTCAATATCAATATCTAAATGGGACAAAAGTTGGAATCTCCTAGTGGGAGACTCAATAATGCCACTGTATTCTCAAAATAAGGATTGGAAAATTCTTTTGAAACTGGACACGGCAGTTACTATTAAGTAGCCATGTTGACCTTGAGCTTTGATGAGTTAGAACTCTTTGGCGTGTATCAGAGATCTAGCTCTCAGCTCATACCAACAAAAGTACTGCAAAAATGCTGAGGAGAGCGCAGTTGACACCTCGTTTTATACACTAAAAGCTTTAGCCTGCTTTTATGAAGACTCTGGTTTTTGAAGTAGAAAGCAATGAAATTATAAATAATTTAAAATCGGCGCTCATGAAAATAGTTTCAGTTCTTCCACACTAGTCCTGTTAACTTAAGTTAATGGCATGCTCGAAGCATACTAAAATCAAAATTGCAAGGAGAGAAATTAGAAATTGAACTTCATTTTCACTTTTTCTTCTTCTCCTCCTCGATAAATTTAAAATTTAGTATTCTTTTATTATCAAATTGGTATTGAAACAAATAAATTGATTATTAACTTTTGGTCAAATTGAATTAAGCATGTTTTTTGAGCGTAAATTCAATCCAAATTCTGGCGAATTCGTTTGCAATAACGAAAATATTTATAAAGCGAACTGCGATTTAGATTGATTTGAATCATTTTGCTATGATCGCTGCCATGTATCATTTGAATTGCTTAAGTTTTTCAAACGTAATAAGTTCTCTACTAACAACCAATAGTAGTATTGCGTTTACAAACTTAATAAGCACCACGTCTGACGAAAAGTTTCAATATTCAGCGACTTAAATCATGGTGCAAAGCAAACACAGCAAGCCGAAGAAGTTCCTTTTTTAAGTATACAATGCTTGTAATAATAAAACTACTGACCTAGTATATTAGTGCGTAGGTAGTGTGTGTACGGTACTTATGCGTCATTACTGTTGGTGGTCAGCAGTCATCGATTGATTCATTATCTGCCCAATTATGTTCACCCAAGTCTAATGAATGGTTAAGTTTTATCTAGCCGATCCCTATCACAACAAACCCAATATTCCTATGTAAAATTATCATATAATTGAGCAAGAGCTTGTTTACATTTCAAATTGGCACTGTATTTTTAAATCAAAGAACCCCTATCAGTGAAGACCGGAATATCTCCACTTGTTCATGTCATCCCCTTTGAATGTGATGCTTCCATACCCCCTTTATAATGTACTAAACGATATCCACACTCCTCACTTACACACCCAGTGCATTTAACTATCTTTCCTCTAATCCACTTTTGCTTTTGTGTAGTGTATATTATAAGAAATTTTAGCGATGAAAACTATGCTAAACATGAAGGTCTCAGAGTTTCTATTTTCGGAAGTCTCTCTTGGTTGTCACTTACTATCCTTCCAATAATTTTGTAGTGTCAATCCCCTCAGGAGTAAATTATCCCCCCCCCCTCTCTCTCAACGGAAACTGATCGCCAATCTTCGTTTGCACACTCTCTTAAGATTCAAACTATTAGCAGTACAGTAGAAATTGGTGTTCTATGCCAAAATAGAGGGGTGCGCGATAGACTTACCTCCACGTGGTGCACCCTGGGTAACGTATACTCATACGACAAAAAAGTCTATTAACTGGCAGTTGACTTCTGACTTTAAACTACCATCAACCCACTGTATGCCATATTCGACCCCTTCCACAGTACTCATCTCACCTTTTCTCTGCCTTTGTGTCTGTCTGTCTCCTCTACATCTGTGAATCGCTCTTCTGTTCCTCCTCCCGAATTTGTCACACTTTGATGTTCCTCCTCCCCTCTGTGAAGCCAGAAGTCAGCTAAAGGCTAATGATAACTATCTAAACGCCTGCCATTTGAAATAAATAAATGTCTAAATAGGAAATGAGGAGGGTAATCCGGATCGTCCTTCTATATGTCCTGCCTGTTGAAAAGTGGTGTAAGTTAGAGACTCTTTATCCTCATACAAATCATTTCTTAATTTATTGAGTTCGATAAAGCTTTTTTTCAAAACAAATGGGTGATTTGGTAAGTCCTGGGCAATAGGTCATCCCTAAACCAATCGCATATATTATTTATTTGCTTTTTATACCACCAACTAACTGAACAAAATCTCCCTCGGGAAATGGCAATAGGCAAATTATCTCTAAAATTTTACTGGCTCAATCTCTTTGAGAAACGTCCCATTTAATATCGGTGTTAGAATTTGTATTTAGCAATGGATCACTTTTTATCAAAATTGCACTTTTAGGGATAATATCATAAGTTGAAACCATTAGCCAATGGAAAATTTTAGAATTTTTGTCCATAAGACTTGCACCAATTACTTGTCTAACCTCTCTGTTAATAAGTCACGCAATATGCCAACTGTGGACGTCCATCATCCATTTTGCATTTCCCCCCAGTTTTGGAATATCCGAACTCTGAGTTCATTCCTTATATCCAGAGCAATATGTACCTGTACTGTTGGGTCAATAATAAGGTGAAATGGCCAAGAATGTGTCTGCTAGTCAGCTTTGAAACCCACCAATAGGGGAGAAAAGTAAAATTTATACAGTTAAACTTTAGAGATGAAGATTTTGAGCGTTCGAGTTGTTGTTGACGATTTTAATTGGTCGTACTTGTGCAATGGTGACGGTGTGGTCAAAGAGCAAGCCTGTTCAGTATCAGGTCATGGGTTTGGTGTTTATCAATAAGCCCCTAATTAATGTTACGCCCTACAGGCACTGATTACAGAAAGTGGAATAACTCGAATTTATCACAAAGGAGACTTCGTGATGCTATACATGTAAATTTCAACCTTTTAAATGTAAAGGATCCGGAGATTGTGTTTATCCGACTTCCAATCCTAAAGATACCCGTTACAAATCTTGTTGTTAATTGCACAAATAATTTCATGAATTGGTTATGACCATACTGAGGGCTTCTCAGTCACGTCTTTCTATCATTACAGGCTCACTTTAGCTCATTTTAGTGGATTAAACCCTAATGCTTATGCGATCGTTTCAGATGGATTTGACCAAAAGTCCGTTAGAACCGTCACGTTTTACAAGCCTCTACCAAATTACCTTAATTTCATTTCACTCTTAATTCAAGCGTTATTATCCCCTTATAGAAAGAGGCTGATGTTTGCAGACTAATCCTGCATTAAGTACCCACATACGATCTTCTCTTTCATCATTCTTTATTTATTTATTTATATCAAATGGCAGGCGTTTTGATGCTTATCATTAGCCCTTTAGTTGACTTCAGGCTTCATAGAGGGGAAGGAGCATCAAAGTGAAAGAAAGTCGAGAGGGGGTGGGGGGAACAGAAGAGTTTTTCAAAGATGTAAAAGAGACAGACACAATGGTAGAAAAAAGTGAGGTATTGTGAAAGTAGTCGAATATGACATATAATAGGGTGATGGTAGTTTGAAGTGAGAAGTAAACTGCCGGTTAATAGACTTTTTTGCCGTATGAGTATACGTTGCCCAGGGTGCACCACGTGGAGGTAAGTCTACCGCAAATCAATCTTTCATCATTCTAATGTGTGGTAAGCAACGTGTGAAGCAGAAAATTTAGGTGCTCAGAGAGACTTTGTGGTTTTTTTGAAACAAGCTGCTGTCACTCACTTCTTTCACAAGTCTGGTGATCTTGATTTTTGCCGCATTCTGCATTATAGTCTGAATTTGAGTTCTATCATTTTATTTATTTATTTATATCAAATGGCAGGCGTTTTGATGGTTATCATTTGCCCTTTAGTTGACTTCAGGCTTCACAGAGGGGAAGGAGCATCAAAGTGAAAAAAAATCGAGAGGAGAGGAACTGAAGAGTGTTTCATGGACGAAGTTCTATCATACCTTCATAGTCACGCGCGTGGCAACCGTGTTTTAAGTCATCTAGTTGTCAGAATAAATCCCACATACAAAATCGTATCTTCATTTAACCGCTTTTAACAAATACCTACGGCTTTAAAACCACCAAAGACTTTCTTACTTACTAAGCACTGTTTCTAATGTCTTTCAATAGATTAAGTAAATCAGACAATTGACTTCATATGGCTCTAGGACACCTGAGGACACACAAGACAGCCTATCAAAGTGTGGCATCAAATTTAATTGAAAATAATTGTTATTTGGTATTAATAACACCTGAATTTTTTTATCAAATCACCGTTATTTCTGCCCTGGCACCACTTGACAACGCAGGTGGTACATACTTGAGACGTCATATGTGTGTATTTTATTTGAATTATGCATTTCTTGGAAAATTTCTCATGGAAACACACCTTCCCTTGCCAAACTCTTTTCACCAAGCTTCACTCCTATGATCGCAATTTAAATGAAAAGACTAACGAGGAGAGTTAACACTTAGTGCAAATTAAATGCTTAAAACGATTGTTCTCAACGTATTAATATATAGGTGAAGAAAAAATATTTAAAAGCTAAAAGCGCTATTTTTCATGTGCACAACTTAAAGCTACTCACCTGATCTGACTTCAGTTGACCTCTGTCAGGCAAATTAACCACCGACCTGTCAGAATTTCTAATCCGCACGCTTAACTTACAATGGTTAGGAATTTTTTGCTCTAACTCACCGAAATAAAGAAAATTAATGATGAAATATTGTCGTGATCAATTCAAATTGAAATGTCTTTAAATCTACCTGTACAGCATGTGCACTACAAATGATAAACGCTTCCAGATTTGTGAAAAGGATGCTATTTATAGTAAGCATAACAAATACAATTTTGCTCATTTCGATGAAAAAGGGAAATTGGCTTACCACAACACCGTTAATTGACCTATTACGCGCCCTTTTTTACCGTTTCTCCAAAGTCGAAAAGCATGAGTCATAGTAGATTTATGGAATTAGTCCAAGTAAATTCAGAAAAAAAGTACAGGTAGTTCGTTTAACTCGCACGCCCTCTAAGTCAGATTTCGCGCGGTCGATGCCCATCGAGTGATGTGGATGGCCACTGTAGCTTGTTACTTCTGGCCAGTATGATGAATGCCAGATTATGAGCCTCTCATATGGTCAAATAAAAAGTGTCTCCCCTCAGCCCATATTCGTAGTTCACAACGCTTCAGTGTTCAATATTCACTTGATTGTGAGTGATATTCAATATCCAGTAAGATTTGTAATGAGGCGCCATAGAAATATTTAAAGATTTGGTAACCATTTACTTGATTATAAGTAATGCCCGATGCTGTTTAGCGTTATTAATCAAATGAAAACTAAAGCTCTATAACCAATAAGACAATTGATTTCAATTAATTTGCAAATAATTTTTATGGTTTTAATGAACTTAAACTTTTTATGAAAATTTTGGCATTAAAGTTAGGTGAAGATAGAAAAATATTGACCCCCGCATACAATTGTGTCAGCTGTCAAAATTTTTACTTCAACTATTCTTCTCACTATTACATTTGGAGCACACGATTACCTTGATTAAATGTTCTATTCCATTAATGGGAGATAAGGTCTCTCGCGCTTTGGTAAGTAAAAATTCGAAAAAATTCTACTGCATTAAAAGGGAGATGGACGAATTGTGGAATGGCGGAATTTAGATGACTTGTAGTCATCTGACTTTGCCCACAATTCTATAGATATACCAGATGACATCGACTTTATCTTCTTAAACCTCAACCATTTCGCAAATTTCATGCATGACATTGCATAAATTACTGCCATTGAATATCTGAAGTAAAATCTGAAACCCTATTTTCTACTTATAGTCAATTTTCAAATAAATAATGACCTATTAAACACCTTTTTATATTGCTTAATATTTTATTAGGCAATTTTTAAAATTAGCTCATATTAATTAAGAGACTGGTCTTTATTATTCAGTTTTCAATTTCTTCTTTCAAGTTTAATAGCATTAGTCAATTTTAATAATTTTCAATATTCATTTTCCCGCAATTTTAGAAGACAGGTGTAAAAGAATTGTTGGTTTTCATTTAAAAACAAAATGCTGCAGATATACATAAAGATCACATCCGCATCCAGAACACACACACACACAAAATGACAAAACAAGTGAACTTAACCCAATAAAAGAGCGGATTTCAGGATCTCATTGGCCGAATTGAGTGTTACCCTCGCATCCTCTTCAGATCCCAGAGCTGTGTTAACTTCAGCCATAAGCATAGACCTCAATTGGCCTGAAGATTTGTGAAATAGAAGAAAATCCATTAGTATAGAATGGCATGCTTGAACATGTAATACTCGCTATGCTGCCTTTAATATGATTAATGTAGTCGATTCTACACTCGTTAAATTTGCGCCAATAACCTGTCTCCATACCCTCTCAGTAATTAGTGGTTTGATTTTGCACACTGAAAACGATCCTACTTACCAGTTTGAGCAAGAGCCCTGCAGATGTACTTTCCCTCCTTCAAAGTCAAACCATCTGGAACTGGAGTTCCCGTGCTTGGAGCAAACCTTGGATCCAAGGAGTCGATGTCAAAACTGAGGTGGATTTTACAGTTCGGACTGAAAAAATACATTCTCAACTAATCATCTGGTCAAAGCTGCAGTAATAGTCTGGCGTAGTGAATTGATACTTACCTCGTCCTTTCAATAATCCGTAATGTTGTTTCAACAACTTTCTCAATTCCAAGTTGTCTTACATCATTCATGCTGAAATAGGGCACACGAAACTCCTTTAAAGTGTTCCTGCAATAAAAACGCAATAAGATTACTACTATGTCTTTAGAGGATGCAGATTTATTGATATTCAATTTACAGTTCCGGTGGATCAAGATCTCTAAGACCAATGTAGATGATCTGATTGGGATCTAACCTAAAATGTAATCAAATGATAATCATAAATCTGGTAACAAAAAAGCTTAATCGAAAATTATGTTTTGATCCTTACACAGGATGTATCTTCTCAAACCCCATAATTTGCGGAATCTGCTTGTAAGTTTCACGCATCATAAAGGAGACAGGCATTCCATGCGTATTTTTGGACGCAGACGAATCTGGAGTATTGATATCACCATGAGCGTCAACCCAAACCACAACCGAATCTGGGAAGGCCCTGAAGTGTCCCTCAATTGCTCCCATACCACTACTGTGGTCACCTCCAAGTATCAGTGTGATTTCGTTCTCACTAACACTCTTCTCAACTAGTTCTCTCAGCTCAAGAGTGGCCTTGATGAGTGCCCTTTGATTTATACAATTCGCAACAATGTCTGGTTCTCTGTCTTTTGGTTGTCTAACTTCACCATAGAAATTAACTTTCGCATCTAGAAAGGCAAGAGAAAGCAATAAGATCAAAACTCGCAGAGAGTTGCCAAAAAAACGAGAGTATTTCGCGGGGAGAATACTCACTGAGTGCATTGATAAGGTGATCCAGTCCAGCTGATCGGATTTCTTTCGGTGCCATTTCGACGCCATCCTTTGGCTGCCCCTTGTTGATAGCTGCTTCAATAAGGCCGACGGAGTTTACAAGAGTGACTGCTGGGGATGCCATCCTAATGTTGTTGATTGTTGGAACTTCTCCTAGCCTATATATAGATATATATATATATATGTATATATCTATTATTGGTTAAGTGCAAAGCGTGAAGCTAAAGGAATACGTTTGCACTTAGCGCGTGCATATCTGGTGTAGTAATCTAAGCAACAGCGTGATGAGAAGGGTCAAGTAATGAATGATTTAAAGGTTTGGATGCTGTTTACAGGATAGAAAAAAGTGAGCATCGTTATGTATAGAGGTATTGACCAAACAAGTTACGTTTTCGAATATGTTTCTGATAGACAACTTATTGATGCTGTGGTTTGTTTCGAAGATGCGGCTTAACGCTATTATTATTATTATTATTATTACTATTAATCAGAAATTGTATATCCTATAATCAAGCTTGGTTTAAATGACCTATTTTGTGGTGATATGACATTTTAAAGGCTATGATCTAGACATGAGCCCTCAAAAAATGGATGCAAATTAGCAAGACGAATTGCTATTTCATCATATCAGCTGAAATTCATTAGCACTTTTTTTCAATTCCAGGTACAGTTATGATATTTGGTGGATCTAACAGTCAGTAAGCAATGGTCTTTTGTAAAGTTTGAGTAGAGTTCAAAAAGGCTTTATCACATGTTTATGGCATGCAGATCAAATAAAAAATTATCCACCATGAGAAAAGTTAAATAGGCCTTTAAATTGACAATGGTAGACTTAATGTTTTAATTTCTTCAATCCAAAGGATTCAATTAACCGCTATTAAAAAGGTTAATTAATTAATTAACTACACCTAAAGCGATGTAGAAATCCGGATTCGAAAAAAACGTTTTCTGATGACAATAAAAGATTTTTATTCTCCACAGTACCTTAAGTCGGATATATCTTGACTACATAAGGAAAATAAGTAGACCATTTTGATAGTCATTACTTGACTTTCTTTGTGAGGCTGGCAAATAGACAATGGTTAATAAAATAGCTCAACAACGGAAATTCGCCTAAACTATCATGGTAAGCTAGAATAAACTCTATTAATATTCCAATTTGATGGTTCGCTGGATTCCACTTGATCAAAAATGGATCAACTAGAGCCAACGAAAAAATGATTTTTACAATCATGTGAAATAATTGGCCAATGATTCATCAACCTATCGAGATCAAAAAGTTAGAATTATTCCAACTTAAAATTCAAACGACAAATATTTATAATAGCGTACTTTAGGAAATAAACCTAGTAGAATATTAGCTAATGCACTAGTGTTGAATGAGTTTAGCAGTACATCGTAAAGAATTCAAAGGGTAAGTAATCAAGCTGGGATTTCTGTTTGTGCAATAATTTAACTGAAACAGAGTAGGACGGATTTTCTAATACTTCTTAGACGGTATCAGTTAGGTTCATTATACCATAACTCTTCAATTGATTCTCTTCATGTATTCCCAAGATTGAAAATAGTAGTTTCATTTGGTATTTTGAGTATACCATTAATAGTCAATGGGTTATAGCTGCTTATCTGGAGGAAATTGGGTTATATTTTGCTAGCAGAAGCAGTCCACTTAACGACAAGAATAAAAAGCTTAAAGAATCAAAAATAAAATTTATTAAATTGAATAGAAATTGTTGCCAAATAAGGCAAACAGCATACCCTTTAATTAAATAACACAAAATTCAAAATGAATGATCTTTAACATTCATGATGCTGATTGATTTGAATTCAGTGGGAAAATCGATTTCTTTCAACTTCACACGCGCCATGAGACAAATTAGGTAAATCTAATTGCCTCTTAGCAGAAGTGCTAGTTAAGATAAAAGGATACAAGTTTCCCATTTAAAGCGCGATTTCTAGAATTCTTAAGAAGGTAGAAGAAATCTGATGTATATTGTCTGCTTTGTCAATCAAAGTCTGCATTTCATTTCCTAAGGCGAGTTATTTTAATGCTACTTCCTTTAATATATTAGCACAAATTTTTATTTGATACTCATTCAGGTTTTGTTAATTAAAATTTAAGCTGAATTTTTTGTCAGATTTTGAGTAATTTATTCCTGTTTAAAATGGGTGTTGAAGGGAAAATAAAAATTTCAAACAGCTTCAACAGACTTTGCTGCCACATTACATAGACTATGGTGAGTTTTGGTATTCGAAGCAGTCGATAGATTGAAATCCAAGCTGTATAAATTCTATTCCATTAAACAACGTCTAAAACTTTTTTCCTTTGAAAACTTTATAGCAATAGATTATTTAACCTTCAGCTTTACTGTACCAGGCATACGATGTATCCACTCTGCTAAAGACTATTTACTGAAAAAATGCCTTGCACTCTAAAATAACCCTTATGGTGATCATTATTTACCAACTTATTTTTCATGGGTTACATAATTTCCATGAAAACGACAGCCTTCTTAGCGTTTGGCATTGGTAAAATTCCAAAGAAATAATTTAGACGCGTAAGCTAATTTTCATTACATAATCAATTCGAAATGCATATTTTGAAAGTTTCTTATGTTTTCAAACTATAGCACGGTTTACTCTAAGTGAGATTACGTTTAACTAAATTCTGATTAAATATTGGCAATGAATTCAATCAGTAGCGTTGAAGTACTTTCCTCGAAGTTATTCTTTTGCACTTCGCTTATCTTCCGACACAAAAATTCTTATATCACCTGATTTGATTTCCAGATGACAGAGAGTTGACACCTATCGCAATAAACGTGATAATTATAAGGAAATGACAAGTAAATGAACTCTTTCCTCATTTAATTAACAACTGGCAATATCTGCAACTCTATGTTGACAGGATAAAAGACTGTCTACTTTATTTGTCTGTTAAAGAGAACGGTTAAACTTATCACTGATTTACCTTCGAACGTAAAGACAAGGAACGTTGAAGTTATGATTTTGTTTATCTGGATTGCGTGGCTAGCACGTATTAGTAAATGAATATGATCGTGTTCATTGATCTCGTGGAAAATTTGGTATTAATAGATGTGTCAGGATCGACCACTCACTTAAATCATCTAACGAAGAAGTTTTACATGTTAGGCATTTTAAGAGATATATAAATGGGGGGGGGGTTAAATCCTGTCATTTAAATAATAGGTAATGAGATATGAATGGTCGTAGTTTCTGAGTCATTATTAGTAAATTAGAAATAGGATATCTGTATAATTCTGAAAAATCCTTATGTTTTCCACTAGCCTGTATTTCAAATTTCGAGCTAAGTAATGCGAATGTGATTCAGTATTTATGTCTTCTGTGCATGCACATCATTATAGTTTCAGAAACTTTCTTATTCAAACCATTCATATTTGGACCCCGATTAAAATCAGTGGGGCATGCACTCAATACAACTGACATTGGCTCGACCTTTATTGAATGAGCTTTGTTTATTTCACTTGTTCAAATTAGAATTGTGAATAATATTTCATGACCACCTACTGAGATAAATACGTTAGCAAAAAACTCTTTATAGTATCGATTTCCGTTATCCCATGCTAGCACACCAGCACAAATAACTCGCAGAAGGTTCCAATTGCTAGTACTGCAATCTGAAAAACCTCAAATTCATTTATTCCTGATTTTCTTGTTGTTTTACCAGTTGGGATGCTAATCTCCATGGCTCTCAAGTAAAACGGACGTTACAAATGTGTCATCTTCCTCCTATCGGCTTTGTGCTAACTTCAATCAAAAGTTTGAATTATTAAGGCTCTCAGCTTTGCAGCCACTTTATCTCTTACTATAGTCTACATTCGAGCTTGAAAAATTCTAGCATAGCACACCGTATGGAAGACCCGTTGAAGTTGGAAGTTTATTAGTTTAATCAGATTGCTCTGATCAGACTCAATAAGTAAGATATTTATTTATTTATCTATTTGTTTGTATCAAATGGCAGGCGTCTCGATGGTTACCATTAGCCCTTTAGTTGACTTCAGGCTTCACGGAGGGGAAGGAACATCAAATTGGAAAAAAGTCGAGAGGTGGGAACAGAAGAGTGTTTCAAAGATGTAAGAGACAAACACAAAGGTAGAACAAAGGTGAGGAGAGTACTGTGGAAATAGTCGAATATGGCATAGAGTGAGGTGATGGTAGTTTGAAGTGAGAAGTCAACTGCCAGTTAATAGAATTTTTTGCCGTATGAACAAACGTTGCCTAGGATGCACCACGTGGAGGTAAGTCTATCGTACACCCCTATAACTAAGATATCAATTGTTGACTAGATTAGAGTTTATTATAATAAGGATCAATGAAACTAGT